GTATAGGTTCTGTAGACTGGTTTAAGTCCTACCTTAGCAACAGGAGACAAATAGTCAAAATCAACAAAACGGAATCAGAACCCCTGCCGATAACATGTGGAGTTCCCCAAGGTAGTATTCTGGGTCCCTTACTATTCTTATGTTATGTCAATGATATGCCTATCAGTGTCAAGTGCAAACTCCTACTGTATGCAAATGACAGTGCTCTGTTAGTGACAGGTAAAGACCCACAAGATATTGCTAATGATTTTAACACTGGAACGGGAAAGTCCTGCAGCAAATGGTTAGTAGACAACAAACTATCATTACACCTAGGGAAAACTGAAGCCATTCTCTTTGGAACGAAACATAAACTGAGAAGGGTAAATAATTTTAATGTTCAGTGTAATGGGGAGTCCATCACTTTGGTTTCATCAGTTAAATATCTGGGAATCCCCTTTGACCCATGCATGTCAGGAGAATTGATAGGGAACAGTGTAGTAAAGAAAGCGAATGCCAGGCTGAAATTTCCTGTATAGACAAGCACAGTGTCTACCTACTGAGGCTCGCAGGACCCTATGTCTAGCCCTTATACAATGCCATTGGATTACGCTTGCTCTTCTTGGTACTCTGCCTTGACAAAAAAAACTGAAAGATAGACTGCAAATCACCCAGAACAAAATCGTAAGATTCATCCTGAGGGCTGGAACCAAGAGAAACATGTAGGCCAGGATGAATTACAGCAGTTGGATATGCTGAATGTTGAAGACAGAGTAAAACAAACTGAAGCTAAATCATGTTTTATAAAATTGCTCACGAAACAGTGTCCAGAATATCTTGCTGTCAATTTTGTCAGGTTGGGAACCAAAGCAATCATAGTACTAGGGGAGAGAGCACAACTTTGTAGTACCCACAGTCAGTGGCCAGGCTTCAAAACACCTTTTATTGTACAGCAATAAAGGAATGGAACAGACTACCCACAAATGTCAAGGCCAGTCATAGCTTGAACCAGTTCAAGAAGACTGCCAAAAAGTGTCTGATGAATGAAGCAACAGAAAGGGAGGGGAATGATTTTTCTATTTTTTAGCTAAAAATACGTGTAAATTTTACCTTATCCCTAGTAATGACCCTCGTATTGTAGATAGTGTCGTAATGACCCTCGGGTAGTGATAGTCTTAATGACCCTCGTATTGTAGATAGTCTTAATGACCCTCGGGTAGTAGATAGTCTTTTTTAGTATGATAATAAGATGTTATCTTCATTATAGAGTAATAAGAAAATATTATAACCTTTATATTATAATAATAAGGTAAAAGGACCCCAATGGAAATAAGTCACTCTGTCTGACTTTTTTGGGTTATCCTAGGTTCTCTACACATATGCTGCTATGTATGATAATTCTATGTAACTGTATTGTGTATACCTGAATAAATTTACTTACTTACTTACTTAGCCTGGGGAAGTTTGAGGTGGTCAGTCTCTCAGCCTGGGGAAGTTTGAGGTGGTCAGTCCCTCAGACTGGGGAAGTTTGAGGTGGTCAGTCTCTCAGCCTGGGAAGTTTGAGGTGGTCAGTCTCTCAGCCTTGGGAGTTTGAGGTGGTCAGTCTCTCAGCCTGGGGAAGTTTGAGGTGGTCAGTCCCTCAGCCTGGGGAAGTTTGAGGTGGTCAGTCTCTCAGCCTGGGGAAGTTTGAGGTGGTCAGTCTCTCAGCCTGGGGAAGATTGAGGTGGTCAGTCTCTCAGCCTGGGAAAATTTGAGGTGGTCAGTCCCTCAGCCTGGGGAAGTTTGAGGTGGTCAGTCTCTCAGCCTGGGGAAGTTTGAGGTGGTCAGTCTCTCAGCCTGGGGAAGATTGAGGTGGTCAGTCCCTCAGCCTGGGGAAGTTTGAGGTGGTCAGTCTCTCAGCCTGGGGAAGTTTGAGGTGGTCAGTCTCTCAGCCTGGGGAAGATTGAGGTGGTCAGTCTCTCAGCCTGGGAAAATTTGAGGTGGTCAGTCCCTCAGCCTGGGGAAGTTTGAGGTGGTCAGTCTCTCAGCCTGGGGAAGTTTGAGGTGGTCAGTCTCTCAGCCTGGGGAAGTTTGAGGTGGTCAGTCCCTCAGCCTGGGGAAGTTTGAGGTGGTCAGTCCCTCAGCCTGGGGAAGTTTGAGGTGGTCAGTCCCTCAGCCTGGGGAAGTTTGAGGTGGTCAGTCCCTCAGCCTGGGGAAGTTTGAGGTGGTCAGTCCCTCAGCCTGGGGAAGTTTGAGGTGGTCAGTCCCTCAGCCTGGGGAAGTTTGAGGTGGTCAGTCCCTCAGCCTGGGGATGTTTGAGGTGGTCAGTCCCTCAGCCTGGGGAAGTTTGAGGTGGTCAGTCCCTCAGCCTGGGGAAGTTTGAGGTGGTCAGTCCCTCAGCCTGGGGAAGTTTGAGGTGGTCAGTCCCTCAGCCTGGGGAAGTTTGAGGTGGTCAGTCCCTCAGCCTGGGGAAGTTTGAGGTGGTCAGTCCCTCAGCCTGGGGAAGTTTGAGGTGGTCAGTCCCTCAGCCTGGGGATGTTTGAGGTGGTCAGTCCCTCAGCCTGGGGAAGTCTGAGGTGGTCAGTCCCTCAGCCTGGGGAAGTTTGAGGTGGTCAGTCCCTCAGCCTGGGGAAGTTTGAGGTGGTCAGTCCCTCAGCCTGGGGAAGTTTGAGGTGGTCAGTCCCTCAGCCTGGGGAAGTTTGAGGTGGTCAGTCCCTCAGCCTGGGGAAGTTTGAGGTGGTCAGTCTCTCAGCCTGGGAAAATTTGTGGTGGTCAGTCCCTCAGCCTGGGGAAGTTTGAGGTGGTCAGTCCCTCAGCCTGGGGTAGTTTGAGGTGGTCAGTCCCTCAGCCTGGGGAAGTTTGAGGTGGTCAGTCCCTCAGCCTGGGGAAGTTTGAGGTGGTCAGTCCCTCAGCCTGGGGAAGTTTGAGGTGGTCAGTCCCTCAGCCTGGGGAAGTTTGAGGTGGTCAGTCCCTCAGCCTGGGGAAGTTTGAGGTGGTCAGTCCCTCAGCCTGGGGGAAGTTTGAGGTGGTCAGTCCCTCAGCCTGGGGAAGTTTGAGGTGGTCAGTCCCTCAGCCTGGGGAAGTTTGAGGTGGTCAGTCCCTCAGCCTGGGGAAGTTTGAGGTGGTCAGTCCCTCAGCCTGGGGAAGTTTGAGGTGGTCAGTCCCTCAGCCTGGGGAAGTTTGAGGTGGTCAGTCCCTCAGCCTGGGAAGTTTGAGGTGGTCAGTCCCTCAGCCTGGGGAAGTTTGAGGTGGTCAGTCCCTCAGCCTGGGGAAGTTTGAGGTGGTCAGTCCCTCAGCCTGGGGAAGTTTGAGGTGGTCAGTCCCTCAGCCTGGGGAAGTTTGAGGTGGTCAGTCCCTCAGCCTGGGGAAGAGTTCAGCTCCCAATTTGCCAATTTTGTTAAATAAATAGTGATATTCAGTCATATTCAGTAACTAACGAATGCTTCTTCAAGTCGGATTCAGAGTAGTGTTGACAAATCATTCTATAATAAGGATGATAATAAGTTTAGTCGGAGTAGCTGCAAATTAAAATTTTACTGAAAAAAAAAAAAACTTGGAATCGTTGGAATGAGATCAATTACTAGAGAATGCCTCTTCTAATAGGCTTCAAACTTTCGCCGTTGGTGGGCATCACTAAAACAAAGCTGTGTAAATTCTATATAAATTCTATAAATTCTATAAATTTTATATAGTTTCTCATGTATTAACTAAAGAATGCCTCTTCTGATCGGTTTCAAACGCTAAACGCTGGTGTATCTTAATTGAAAGCATTTTTGTATTAATTTTGCGCTGTGTGAGTGCCACTCTAGCAGTGCCACTCTACCAGTGCCACTCTAGCAGTGCCACTCTACCAGTGCCACTCTAGCAGTGCCACTCTAGCAGTGCCACTCTAGCAGTGCCACTCTACCAGTGCCACTCTAGCAGTGCCACTCTACCAGTGCCACTCTACCAGTGCCACTCTACCAGTGCCACTCTACCAGTCCCACTTTACTCGGGCATTACAGTATAGCTCATACACGATAATGAGTTATTTACAATACACAATGGTTTGTTTACAAAACAAGTTATAAGTGTTAAAATTTAAGCCTTATAATAACTTTCATTGTAATGACCTGACGTGCTGTTGGAGTTTGAACAAGATAACACTTATGAAGGGATTCAGGGAAACCTGGTAGCTGGACTTGAGTCCTGGAGGTGGGAAGTACAGTGCCTGCACTCAGTAGGAGAGGTGAGGATGTTGCAGTCCTGGAGGTGGGAAGTACAGTGCCTGCACTCAGTAGGAGAGGTGAGGATGTTGCAGTCCTGGAGGTGGGAAGTACAGTGCCTGCGCTCAGTAGGAGAGGTGAGGATGTTGCAGTCCTGGAGGTGGGAAGTACAGTGCCTGCGCTCAGTAGGAGAGGTGAGGATGTTGCAGTCCTGGAGGTGGGAAGTACAGTGCCTGCACTCAGTAGGAGAGGTGAGGATGTTGCAGTCCTGGAGGTGGGAAGTACAGTGCCTGCGCTCAGTAGGAGAGGTGAGGATGTTGCAGTCCTGGAGGTGGGAAGTACAGTGCCTGCACTCAGTAGGAGAGGTGAGGATGTTGCAGTCCTGGAGGTGGGAAGTACAGTGCCTGCGCTCAGTAGGAGAGGTGAGGATGTTGCAGTCCTGGAGGTGGGAAGTACAGTGCCTGCACTCAGTAGGAGAGGTGAGGATGTTGCAGTCCTGGAGGTGGGAAGTACAGTGCCTGCACTCAGTAAGAGAGGTGAGGATGTTGCAGTCCTGGAGGTGGGAAGTACAGTGCCTGCACTCAGTAGGAGAGGTGAGGATGTTGCAGTCCTGGAGGTGGGAAGTACAGTGCCTGCACTCAGTAGGAGAGGTGAGGATGTTGCACTTCAGATCATTTGAACTGTGATTTCAGCATACTTCTGGCAAGGCAGTGAGTGCGTGATGGTGAACGTGTTTTTTTTTTTTTTTTTTTTTTTTGGGGGGGGGGGTCATTTTAACTCGGTGGAAGACGGCCACTGTGTTAAAAAATCGGAAATTGATTAATGATTTTGTTATAGGACTGTGATTCATGGATCACAAGCACGGCTACTGAGCTGACTACCACCACCACTACTGAGCCGACTACCACCACTACCACTACTGAGACGACTACCACCACTACCACTACTGAGACGACTACCACCACTACCACTACTGAGCCGACTACCACCACTACCACTACTGAACCGACTACCACCACCACCACCACCACTACTGAGCCGACTACCACCACTACTGAGCCGACTACCACCACAACTGAGCCGACTACCACCACTACTACTGAGCCGACTACCACCACTACTACTACCACTACCACTACCACCACTACCACTACTAAGCCGACTACAACTACTCCTGCTGATTCCACCACAACTCTCCGCCCTTACATCAAACCCAACTGCAGTGTTCTCAGTGACGGAAGCAAGTTCCCTCACCCTGACTGTAACAAGGTTAGTCTAATCTTAATGTGTGTGTGTGTGTGTGTGTGTGTGTAGGTGATTGTCCATTTATCGCTACAGGAGCAGAGCTATGTTGTTATAATAATTGCCAGGAGACAGGACAAGTGTCTCCTGGCATGGTTTCTTAATCATACGGATGACCCTTATGTACATGAGTACAATAGAGCTATACTCGTGGTGTCGTATCCAATTATTTTTCTTATATATATATATATATATATATATATATATATATATATATATATATATATATGTATGTATGTCGTGCCGAATATGTAAAACTGGTCAATTAGCAAGAACTCATTTAAAATTAAGTCCTTTCTAAAATTTTCTCTTATACGTTTAAAGATATATTTTTTTTCATTAATGTTAATGTAAAAAAAATTAATTTTGCACCAAAAGAATCTTAGAAAATTTACCTAACCTTATTATAAGAAGAGCAATTTATTTTAGCCTAACCCAACTTAATATATTTTAGATTTGTTTACAGTAATTTAATACTAAACAAACACAGTGAAATATATTTTTTTCGTTAGGTTCAGAATAATTTTGGCGAAATTATTGCATACACAAATTTTCGCTTGTCCTATATGGCAAGATGAGCGTTGCTATTTAAGCCAAGATCGCAAGTTCTGCCTATTCGGCACGACATATATATATATATATATATATATATATATATATATATATATATATATATATATATATATATATATATATATATATATATATATATATATATATATATATATATATATATATATATATTATACACACACACGTTTTTCCTCTTGTTGTTCTTATTGCGGGTACTGAGAAATCATGTCCTTTTACGACCTTATAAGTAGTTACCATACCTGAAGGATATCCGAAGGATGCTTCCGGAGATCAACGCCCACTGCGGCTTGGTCCCTAACCAGACTTACTGTGTCTCCTAGGTCTTCTCTTTTTCATATCAGCCAGCGTGGGTATCCATGGTGTTCTCAAACTCTCACCATAACTCCTCTCTCGCTCTCAAAATTTCGAAACCCTTGATGCTTTTGCAGTTCTGGGAGTGCCGGGACGGGCAGGCCATAGTGATGCTGTGTGCTGGTGGCACAGTCTGGGATGACGTGCTTCAGATCTGCAACTGGGAAGAGAATGTTGACATCTCCAACTGCAACATGTGGACTTGTCAGGTGGATAACGAGTACTATGCTGCCGAAGACTGTGACAAGGTGAGATTATATTTGATACTAGCGTGTAACAAGAGAGAGAGGTTAGGTAAGGTTTGTCAGAAAACTGGACAAATGTTTCCTGACGTTGGTCTTCAGCTGCTTTCAGCTGGCTTACCGGTCCACCCCTTTAAAATTTATGGATTATATCCATTAGATATATACTCAAGAGAGAGTATATGTCACTTATTTGTAGTTGCATAGGCACCGACCCACCTACTGACTTGCTCCTTACGTGAGGAAGACACTGTGTTTGTATACAAACATATATTATGACGCTTTATCCAGGACTAGACACAAAGTACACAAAACACAAATAACTCACAGTCTGGAGAGACAAATGTTGACATTTCGGTCACGTCCTGAACCATTTAGAGGTCTCGTAGCTCGATTGATAGCGCACTCACACCGAGGTCCCTGGATCGATCCCCGGTATGGCTGAGAACATTAGAACGTGTTTCCTTAAGGCGCCTGCTGTCTATGGTCACCTGTCAGTAAAATAGGTACTTGGGTGTTAATCGACTAGTGTGGGTCGCATCTTGGGGCAAAATTGACCTAATTTGCAGAAAATGCTGTGCATCACAAGGGGCGTTCTATATAGTATTATATCATTGAAATCAGCTGTTTATATACCTTGTACTACATGCACTTGTAGAAATAAAGATTATTATTATTATTATTATTATTATTATTATTAAGACGTTTCGGTCCATCTTGCACCATTATCAAGCCGAGAGCTGATAATGATTTAATACGGACCGAAACGTGTTTCAAAGTTTGATCACCAATTTTGGGTCTAAGTGCCAGTTGTTTCAGCCCCAGCATTTTATTTTTTCTCTTTTATACGCTATTTTCAAGTTCCTGGTCAGTTTGCTCTATAAGTAAATCGAAAACATCATTTTCAGAATATATTGAAAATTGCTATGAATAAATATTAAATATATTACTAATACTTCCATAACTAAGTTGTGATCTTTAATATTAACGTTAAGTCTTCAGTTTTAGTGTAGCTTTGTTGTGCATATACATGTATACAGTGTGTATGCCTCTCAGTGTATACATACACCGAAATGTATTGTTGCTCATTGGTATTGTGGGTTTTGTTGATAACAAGTATTTTCGTTGTTGTCGTGCAGTACTACTGGTGCTACCAGGGGTCGCCACACCTCGAGCAGTGCCCCAATGGTCTCTTCTGGAATCAAAACGTTCTGCAGTGTGAGGATCCTTCCCTTGTTGATACTTCCTTCTGCAACCATTGATGTGTCTACAACAACCAGCCACTGATCCTTACCACCACAACCACCACTGATCCTCGCCAGCACAGATCCTCACCTCCACAATCACCATTGATCCTCACCACTACAACCACCAATGATCCTCACCACCACAACTACCACTGATCCTCAGCTCTACAACCACCACTGATCCTCACCTCCACAACCGCCACTGATCCTCAGCACCTCAACCACCACTGATCTTCACCACCGCAACCACCAGTGATCCTCACCTCCACAACCGCCACTGATCCTCAGCACCTCAACCACCACTGATCTTCACCACCGCAACCACCAGTGATCCTCACCTCCACAACCGCCACTGATCCTCAGCACCTCAACCACCACTGATCTTCACCACCGCAACCACCAGTGATTCTCACCTCCACAACCACCACTGATCCTCAGCACCTCAACCACCACTGATCCTCAGGACCGCCACCATCACAACTATCTCAACCAGCCATTGATCTTCAGTACCGCCCCAACCACCTACAAACACCAGCACCACTACGACCACTTCAACAAACAGCCACCCAAAACAACCACCAGACTAGCCACCAAATCAGCTACAGTCGCCCACCACCACCACCACTATCACAAGAACAACTACACACCATCACTCAGTCCCTACAACAACTTTTACAACCACCTGCCAACTTACGAGCCCTACAACCACTTGCCACCCACCAACACCACAACACCCTCCGTCAACCACCACCAACACAAGAAGCAACACACCAACTACTACAACACCCAAAACCACCCACCAACACCATCCTCACAGCAACCACCACCACCACAACTACCAATCATCACCATAATTACCATTTCCACCACCACCATGCATCACCACCACAAGTACCACCATCACCACTACCATCCACAAACACCACCACAACTAACCCCCCCCACAAGCTAGTTGCTTATTATAATAATTATATTCATAGAGAAGCGCTAAAGCCGTGGGGGGTCATACAGGTTACATTCAAGGAAGGGAGGGGTAGATCCGACTCCTTGGATCAAGAGCCAGTCGCTACCACCCGCCCTTTCCCATGGCAGAGGTAGGTGGTGTGAGACATGACAGGTGTGTGACATGATAGGTAGTGTGAGATATGACAGGTGGTGTGTGACATGATAGATGGTGTGAGTGAAAAGTAAACTAGGATCAGTATTCCTCCTTACAAACTCCTAACTTCAAAGTCTATTGTAACATAAGTCTATTCACTCAACACTTGTGCCTTGTTTCCCATGTCTGTATATTATATATATATATATATATATATATATATATATATATATATATATATATATATATATATATATATATATATATATATATATATATATATATATATATATATATATGATGAGATTAAGACACATGTGCAACATCTGGGTATCTTTATTGTAGACGTTTCGCCATCAGTGGCTTTATCAATACAAATTCTAGGACATAACTTGAAGACAGTAGAACTATGTACAGAAGATGAGGTAATCAGTCCCTCAACCTAGGAGTAGGTGCAAAGAGCACCACGACTATGGTGCTCTTTGCACCTACTCCTAGGTTGAGGGACTGATTACCTCATCTTCTGTACATAGTTCTACTGTCTTCAAGTTATGTCCTAGAATTTGTATTGATAAAGCCACTGGATGGCGAAACGTCTACAATAAAGATACCCAGATGTTGCACATGTGTCTTAATCTCATCATATATATATATATATATATATATATATATATATATATATATATATATATATATATATATATATATATATATATATATATATATATATATATATATATATACATATATGTATATACGTATAATGTTGTTGGTATGCATGTGTATGCGTATATCTACACACTAAGCAAGCATTGTATAATAATGGATATATATCACGTGTTAATGTGTTAAATTATTCATCTTATATAATTTATAAAAAAAATGTGTATAGTATAACAATTCACACAACGGGATGAGGTTATCATTGGCTGGCAATACTCACGTCAGATTTATCTCTTCAATTGGATAGGCCTACACATGTCAGTGGATAAGTCTATATATAACTGAATATGCCTACATATTTAATTGGATAAACATATATGTTTTGGGAGACGTCATGGGATGAGGGGTCCCTTGACGGGAATTCCAGATGGTTACTGTTTAATAAAATATTTAAGATTTCGGCAGCTTTTATCATTGACACAACAAAAGTTATCTAAAGGAAGAGAAACATTAATAACTCCATGTTTCTCAACCTCTAATTGCGTATATATATATATATATATATATATATATATATATATATATATATATATATATATATATATATATATATATATATATATATTACCTGGAGAGGTTTTCGGGGGTCAACGCCCCGCGGTTCGTTCTGAGACCAGACCTCGTGGTGGATCAGGGTCTGATCATCCAGGCTGTTACTGCTGGCTGCACGCAAGCTGACGTACGAACCACAGCCCGGTTGGTCAGGAACTGACTTTAGGCGCCTGTCCTGTGCCTTCTTGAATACAGCCAGGGGTATATTGGTAATCCCCCTTATGCTGGGAGGCAACTGAACAGTCTTGGGCCCCGGACACTTCTTATGTTGTCTCTCAGTGTACTCGTGGCGCCCCTGCTTTTCATCGGGGGAATGTTGCATCTCCTGCCGAGTCTTTTGCTTTCATAGGGAGTCATTTTCATGTGTAGATGAAGAAGGTGAGTACTGGTGTAATGGGTGAGTGAGTATTGGTGAAGAGGGTGAGTACTGGTGAACAGGATGAGTACTGGTGAACAGGGTGAATACTGGTGAATAGGGCCTCGAGTACTGGTGAACAGGGTGTGAGTACTGGTGAACACAGTGAGTACTGGTGAACACGGTGAGAACTGGTGAACAGGATGAGTACCGGTGAACAGGGTGAGTACTGCTGAACAGGGTGAGTATTGGTAAAGTTCAGTTCTTGAAAGAACAGGGAAAGTACTGGTAAAGTTCACACAGTTGTCAGCCACCCTAATTGACCACATACTTTGTAACCGCGCTGAGAACATTAGTCAGTCAGGCGTCATTACCACAGGTCTTAGTGGTCATTTCATCATTTACTGCACCAGGAATATCACTAGGGATAGGATAGGCCTACACAGGACAATAAAAATGAGGTCAACTAGAAACTACAGTAAAGAAACACTGGTAAATAGGCTACACAATTGTGACTGGACAGAGATAACAAGTTGCACGGACGTAAACGATACCTGGGAAAAATTCAAAACAATGTTCACTACCATCCTTGATAATATTGCACCAGTTAAAGAGGTTAGGATTAAACGAAGAACTGAACCCTGGATGACTACTGAGATATTAGATAATATGAAATTCAGAGACCAGCTGCTAAAAAGATTTAAAGAAAACAGACAGGATATTGCAGCACTAAATGAATTCCAAAGGTGAGGAACAGAGTACAGAGACTTATAAAAGGAGCAAAGGCAAAGCACTATTGCTCAAAAATTGAAGAGTATAAGCATAACCCCAGAAAGCTCTGGCAACAACTAAAACAGTTGGGGTATAGCCACAAGCCAGTAGATAGGTCTAACATAGTACTCACTATCGATAATGAGGTATGCCACGAAACATCTAAGGTGGCAAATTGCTTTAATTCCTACTACACAAACTGTTGCATCAACACTAGTAAGTAAACTACCAGCTGCATCAATTACCTTTAACACAGACTCTGATAAGTTTCAAACATACTATACCAATAAAGGAGTAACCCCAAACAGTTGTCAACTAGTAAGTGTATCTCATGACTTTATTCAAAAAGAACTAAGCAGGTTAAACCCAACTAAGAGCACAGGCCCTGATAACATCCCGTCTAAGTTCCTAAAAGATGGTGCTTCTGAACTGTCAATCCCTGTTGCTCACATAATAAATCTATCAATCACCACTAATAACGTACCGGAGGGGTTCAAGGAGGCCAGAGTTATTCTGGCCTATAGTTGCTGATGTCAGCAACTATAGGCCTGTTAGTATACTCAGTATAATACCTAAAATTCTAGAGAGGGCGGTGTACTCTTAAGTAGTTAAGTACCTTAATGACAACAACATTCTCCATAGCTATCACTCGGGCTTTAGAAGATCCTACTCAACCGACACCTCCCTAATTAATCTGATGGATTACCTGAGAACTGAAATGTCAAAGGGGAACCTCATAGGTATGGTAGCCTTAGACCTGCAAAAGGCCTTCGATACTGTCAACCACAATATATTATGTAAGAAACTTCAAGCTATCGGTATAGGTTCTGTAGACTGGTTTAAGTCCTACCTTAGCAACTGGAGACAAATAGTCAAAATCAACAAAACAGAATCAGAACCCCTGCCGATAACATGTGGAGTTCCCCAAGGTAGTATTCTGGGTCCCTTATTATTCTTATGTTATGTCAATGATATGACTATCAGTGTCAAGTGCAAACTCCTACTGTATGCAAATGACAGTGCTCTGTTAGTGTCAGGTAAAGACCCACAAGATATTGCTAATGTTTTAACACTGGAACTGGAGTCCTGCAGCAAATGGTTAGTAGACAACAAACTATCATTACACCTAGGGAAAACTGAAGCCATTCTCTTTGGCACGAAACATAAACTGAGAAGGGTAAATAATTTTAATGTCCAGTGTAATGGGGAGCCCATCACTTTGGTTTCATTAGTAAAATATCTGGGAATCCCCTTTGACCCATGCATGTCAGGAGAATTGATAGGGAACAGTGTAGTAAAGAAAGCGAATGCCAGACTGAAGTTCCTGTATAGACAAGCACAGTGTCTACCTACTGAGGCTCGCAGGACCCTATGTCTAGCCCTTATACAATGCCATATGGATTACGCTTGCTCTTCATGGTACTCTGCCTTGACACATAAACTGAAAGATAGACTGCAAATCACCCAGAACAAAATCGTAAGATTCATCCTGGGGCTGGGACCAAGAGAACATGTAGGCCAGGATGAATTACAGCAGTTGGATATGTTGAATGTTGAAGACAGAATAAAACAACTGAAGCTAAATCATGTTTATAAAATTGCTCACAAACAATGTCCAGAATATCTTGTTGTCAATTTTGTGGAAAATTACATTTACTTGGATGTATCATTATATACATAACAGTAAATGATAACAAAGATAATTATTATTTATCAGAGTTACATCGACAAGTAGGAATTTGGGACACTTAGGTCACAAAAAATGTCCCCCTTCGATACCTATCACTGTCATATCCACAAGTTGCTCTGGACCTATTAATTATAAATGAAATATACATACACCAAGAATGCTGGTAAATATATAAATTTGTGGACTGTACCTGGAGAGAGTTTACCTGGAGAGAGTTCCGGGGGGTCAACGCCCCCGCGGCCCGGTCTGAGACCAGGCCTCCTGTGGATCAGAGCCTGATCAACCAGGCTGTTGCTGCTGGCTGCACGCAAACCAACATACGAGCCACAGCCCGGCTGATCCGGAACTGACTTTAGGTGCTTGTCCAGTGCCAGCTTGAAGACTGCCAGGGGTCTGTTGGTAATCCCCCTTATGTGTGCTGGGAGGCAGTTGAACAGTCTCGGGCCCCTGACAC